GATTCTCTTTATTTCCTTTGAAATTTCTGTCATTAAAATGTATAACCTGGGGCTTACATTACTGGGATAATCTTGGTGCAAAACCCATAATGCATGTTTTGTGTAAAGAGGGCTTTTAAAAGAATTAATTTTGAAGTTAATTTTAATCACATAAATATTTTTAGTTTTATATGCTCAACACTAGTTTAGAATAACAGCTCTTTACATTCCTTATCAATCAACAAAAAGATACTCAGTAATAAGTAACTGAAAAGGAAGTTTTTACTTGTGCCTGCACTTGTGTTTTTAGATGTGAATCATCCTTCTCAGTAGCTATAGTTCAGTCAGTGTATTTTTTAGTGTTATAGTGGAGCTATAACTTGCTTAACTTCAACTCCTAAGTTTTACTTCACAGATATATAATTTCTAATTTATCTTTTCTTGGAAATAAAACTGTGCCATTAGTTAAGGGCTTTTTACTCAGTCTTTGTTATGCTGCAATGGTTTTTATCCAATTTGTATTAGAACGTCACATCAAGTTTTATATTTGCTTGTTTTTGTTTCAACTGTATATAATTCATTTAACTGTGGATGGGTTTTTATGTAAACCTGTAAATAGGATACTCTTATACTATGAATAATATACATACCATATGTACATACTAATGTGGAAATTGTGTTTTGAATGGTGTGTCATTTTAAGTTTCAATATTCATTAAGTCATATTTACCAATAAACTTAATAGTTTTATAACATTGTAAGAGCCTTTTCTTAGGAATGAGATAAACATGTGTTATAATCTTAAGGAACTTTTTCTATTTAGGAACTGATCAACATCAGTTGAGTTACTTGGCATACTTTTCTGGACCTATAGTCTGTCTATACCAATGTTTTTAAACATTAAACTTAAAACTCAGGGGGAAAAGGTTCTTCAACTTGAGATCTTCTCTCCAGATCTCCATTCTTTGGAGTTTCCATGAGTGTGACCTGAAGAACTTGGAACCATTGAAATTCAAATGTAGGTAGGTAAGTGTTCACACCAGCGCATGCATTGATTGCCTTATATCTCTTTGTATATGCATCTGTATTGCACCCTCTCAGTGCCTTTCTTCCTCTTCCTCCCCATAGATCATGTAGGGCCTGTGTCACCCTGATATTATATAATTGTGTGATTCTGTATTTTGGTCATTATTTGTCTGTGATGTGTGTCAGGAGCAATTTTAAAATGTCTTCAGATGTTTATAACGTTGTGCTGTCTAAAGACTATCACACATAACTATGTGCTATGTATGGGCCTGGGTTTTGTTTTTGTGAATTGTGTTTATTGAGCTCTGAATAAACATTCCACTGGAGTTGCCGCTATTTGTTGAGGGATGCAGAAAGTCTCAGTAATGCATTATTTCACTTACTCTCTCAAATGTATTTAGAGATGTGAAGTGTTTCTGGTACTAAGAATTTCTTCCACTTAGTCTTTGACTTAAAAGTTATCCTGATAACCATTATGATAGCATTAGTGTCAGTACTATCCTTTGAAGTACATTCACAACATCTCTGGGCAATTAAAAAAGTGATTAAACATAATCATTTGCTTCCAGTGAAAAGAATTAATACTAATTTATTCCACACATACAGGACTCCTATTTAGCTTTCTCCCCCCAAATATTTATTGCTAGTATACTAAGTTGTAACTGAAATAGGCAAACAGACTCAGTTATGGAATAGTCTCCTAGGCTTAAATAGAGTTTCTACTCAAGTAAGCAAAATGGGATATTCAGGTGCTTAATTAATGTAATTTTGCTCAAAATATCTGAACACCAAAATCTAGAATTTCTAGTATGTTTTTTATTTTTTTATTATCACATATGCCAAACACATCATTGAATTTCAGAATCTCCTGGGTTTGTTTGTTTGTTTTTTGTTTTGGTCTATCTCCTATAAAAATTAGAAAATTCTTTAGCAGTGGTTCTTAAACATTTGATATCAGGACTCTTTTAGACACTTAATTACTTGAAGACTTCAAAGAACTTTTGTTTATATATACACGTGTATATATACTCATGTACTCATTTACATGAGTAATATCTATTAATATTTTACTGTATTAGAAATGCAAATAGAGACCTTTTAAAAATTTAGTATTTTTAAAATAATAAAACCCCACTATATGTTAACATAAATAACATTTTTATGAAAAATAGCTTCAGAATTTAAAAATGCTAAATAAACATAACATTTATTTTACTGTGTGTGATGGTGAAGAATATAATGACTACTAATACAATTTGGTGTCACTGACTGCGTTCATAGAAAAGCCCCAGCAGTTTTACCTACCAATGTGTTTTCACCATCATTGCAAATGTCAATACAGTAAAAAAGGCAAATAAAACTGGTAAATTTATGAAAGTAGTTTTGACTTTGTGATCCTTGAAGGGTTTGGGGGCTTCTATTTTGAGAACCATGTTCTAGGATGCCTGCTTATCTTGAGAAAATTTTTATCAACCTGTTAAATGCTTTTTTCTTCTTCTTGTTCTGGGCCTTTATTATCCAGTCTCCTTGCTTGCAGTTGATATGAACAGACTTGAGAGTTATTTGAGCATAAATTTTGTTTTAGTTAGCATCATAGAATTAGATATTAAAGAAAGCAGCCAAGTGCTCTAAAATGAGTCTCTCCATTGGATAACTATACATTTTTCTCTTCATACCTGTGTGTGGTTGATTGTATGTGAGTATACAATTAATTTGCTCCTGGGTAGTAGTAAAATATGCTTGAAGCATATGATTTTCTTGAATTATGGCGATTCACACCATGTGCCATTGTGATAAGCTACGTTTTTTTCCTGATCTATCACAATTTCAAATATTACTGCTCCAATTTGTATGCCAAAGATTGTAGGAAACTCTGAAACATTTCTTAACTTTCTGTCCACTCTTTTTTCTGGAACCAAAATTTGTAATATTGTAAAAGTGGTCCAAGAAAGTTGTAGAGATGCCAAGTTAGGAGACCATTAACATCATCTTCTAAGTGGCATTCTCCTTTGTAAAATTTGTTATTCTTCTGATATCCCTGGACTGTGGGATTTTTATAGTTTGTACCAACAGTACTGAGGGGGTGTGTGATGCCTACATATGTGCAGATACATGGTGGAGTTTGACTCACACTCAATGCATGCGCTAGTGCTCACGCTTACATACTTGAAATTTAATGATTCAGCAGCTCTGCGGTATTTGAAGAGGTAGTCAAAATGACTAAATAAATAATTGAAAGTTTAAAATACTGCTAAAGAACAAGAATCTGCAGGTGACTCAATAATAAGGAACTCTACTGGTAAGTAATCCACGTAATTCCTAACTTGGAAAGCTTCTCTGTGCATTGAGCCTCTAGTATAGGTATAATACTGTATCCTATAACATTAGTAATTTGCCTGTAAGATGCATATGGTGAATCATTTATTAATTGCTGAATTGTATAGTTAGGAAAAATATTGAACATCAAAAGCCTAAAAACGAATCATTTAGTTGAATATATTATTTCTGTGTCTTTTTAGAACAGTCTTCATAATTCTGTTGCAAAATTTGAAATTGTTTTAGACTATTTGAACTCAAAATGTAAACTTCCTTTTTTTTCCTCAGGCCTGTTTCCTATTCTTGTTTTGGTACTAGGCCCCTTTTTAGTATAGATAGGTTCCCACAACTGAATGAGAGAATATTCGTAATTATCCACTCATCAGTTTTCAGGGCCATCAGCCTCTGTTGGCTATCTCTTCATACTTTCTAATGGCAGGAAAAATTAACTCTAAAGACCACCAGGTGAATAATCAACTGGCATGTGATACAGCTCAACCCTGTCTTTATGTTCTTTTCTGGTAATCACTCAACTACCTCCTAATCTATAGGTTAAAAATTATATAGAGATAAAAAAAATAAAAAATTACATAGAGATTAGTAGGCAAACTCTGTCAAGGGAAGCATGCTATGAGGAAAATTTGTATTGTAAAAAACAGATTTTTATCTTTAGATTCCCAGTAAGTAACTTACTAGAATTTGGAGAAAATTATTAGCTTGAAAATGGCACATATTTTTAAAGAAAAAAGGTGATAACATCCTGTATCTTTGGATGAACCACTTATTAACAATAACTTTATGTTTTGCATAGACATGTGAGTGTTTTGTCTTCTTATCTTATTCAGTACTTTGGTTGGCATTTTAGTTTATTTACTTTCAACTTTGTTACAGGTATTCTATTATTAATGAAGAAGCATTGTGGAAATCCAAGTCATATTAAGTACTTTAAGTCCAGTTAGTTTCTTAGAATATGAAGACAAGCAGTGTTGGCAAAGCCATACTGACCTCATTCTTATTCTCTTCACTTCTCAAGCTAAATTTTCCTTTCTTTGCTGATTGTTACTATTATTAAATACCAATTTGAGAAGAAAAATATTTTAAGTAACCCTTTCTTTCCTTGTTGAAACTACTTTTCATCCTAGTAGTCATTGAAGAATGCTCTGCTGCAGTTAAAAATTTTTGTGAATTACATGTTTATGCTTTTTATTCTTTATTAAGTGATTCTAATTGTCTTCTCTCTTCATCTTTATTAAAACTTGCTTTTTAAAATGCTTTTTATATACTCTGATTTCCTGTAATGCAAATGTTACTCAGTCTAACCTTTTTATTTAAAAAAAAATGGTAATGTTTATTTACTTATACATTTTAAAGCCTACTTTGTAAAGGTATAAGAGCCTGTTTTTTTCTTAAAAAACAAAAACAAAAAACAACAAATAATGTTTGACATATTATTTCAATTATTTTTATTTCTAAATTTCTTTTAATTATTGAAAAGATTCAAGACTCAATTCTTCTGAACTAATGTCTTTAAATTTTCAATACAATTATATGAATGGGCTTAATCTTGTTTTACTGTCATTGAAATAGTTTTGAGTTTGCAATAAAGAGAATAAGAGGTAATTTTCTTCCTACTAATGTCCATTTGGTACAAAAACACTTTTTTTTGTTTGATTTTGCAGATTCCCTTCAGGCCCAGCTTATCAATATGGGTGTTATTCCTACCTTAGTGACATTACTGGGCATCCACTACCAAAATGCAGCTCTCACAGAAATGTGTCTCATAGCATTTGGCAATTTAGCAGAACTTGGTAAGTCTTGTTCATGAACCACTAATGTAATCAACTTATTAATGTACTTAATTTTTTCTTTAATTATTAACAACATGAAAATCCATTGAGATTAGTTTATTTCCTTGAAGCATTATAGATATTTGCTTCAATGTTAAAGAAATGTAGATACAATTATATCTTATAATTGTATTTAAAATTGAGAGCTATTTTGCTTTCCTAATTGTTTCAAACATTGAGGTTTAAGTGTTATATTATTTAATAGAGTTGAACATTTAAAATGATCTCCCTTGATTTTAGTATGTTTACATGAGTGATCATCTTAAAATCAAGTAATTGTGTTTCTTGAGCAAAAAGAAAGGACTTCATAATTTATTACATTTTCAGATGAAAAGGAATCTATCAGATTGTGGTCCTTCCTCCTCTTTTTACGAAGTCCCTAAAAATAGTAGGACACTTTTTCAAAAAAATATATTTGTAATGGAATAGAAAAATTGTGAGAACTTCTTGAAAATCAGAAGACAGGCAAAAACAGACCAATGCTGGAAATAGTCCAGTCATAGCAGAGAAGAGGACTAATGACCCCAGCACTCCGATCTCTTTTCTTTGTTTTATTTTTCTCTATATCATGTATAGTACTCTTTTCTTCTTCCATCCCATGATAGAAAGTTATAACTCCTCGTGTGAATTTACTGCACAACTATGTTCATAAATTATTTATTCTGGAGACAATGAAACCAAATGATGTTTTGTCATAGATAAATATAATAGCTAGAACAAAAAATAAATCTATTATTTATCCCCATTTTATAAATAAACTAGAGGCCTGGTACACGAAATTCGTGCGGGGCAGGGGGGGCGCCTCAACCCAGCCTGCACCCTCTTGCAATCCAGGACCCCTTGGACATCCCTCTCACAATCCAAGGCTGCTGGCTCCTAACCGATCACCTTCTTGCCTGCCTGATCACCCCTAACCACTCTGCATGCCTGTCTTATTGCCCCTGTCCACTCGCCTCCCTGCCTCATTGCCACTAACCGCTCACCTGCCTGCCTCATTGCCCCTAATTGCTTGCCTGCCTTCTTGATTGCCCCTAACTGCTCTGAATACCTGCCTGATCACTCCTAAGTGCTCGCCTGCCTGCCTATTCACCTCTCTAACTGCCTCTGCGTTGGCCCCTGCTGCTGGGGCTTCGTCCAGAATGACATCTGGAAGGTTGTTTGGCTGTTTGGTCTAATTAGCATATTATGCTTTTATTATCTACACTAATAAAAGAGAACCATGGTAATTGGCGTACGACCGCTACCCTTTCCATTGGCTAATCAGCGAGATATGCAAATCAACTGACAGCCAAGATGGCGACCAGGAGCCAGGCAGCTTAAACTGAACATGAGGCGTGCTTGCTTCAGTGACAGTGGACTCCAATGTTCCCCACCTGCCGCTGCAGGCCTCTGAACAGGCAGTTTGAAACATAGTAACATACAGAAGCTAAAAAAAACTTCAGAAACATGCTTTCAGTGAGCCGGGATCTCAGAGCTGGAGTCAGAGCTGAAGTTATACATTGTTTTGATTACCTACTTTCAGCAGCGGAGGCCTAAGAGCTGGAGCCTCAGAGCTAAAGCTGGCCCAGAATTTTAAAAAAAGAGAAAAAAAGGAGTGGTCGGGAGCTTCCGT